GGAAAAGCCACTGTAATCCAAAAGCTGTACTATGGAAATTTATATTTTTAAATAAAAGTTAAAAAAAGTAGTGGGTTTGTTTTTTAGTATTTCAATCCAGTCTGTATCTTTTAACTGGGGAAATTAATGTATTTACTTTCAATCTTATTATTTCTTAGAAAGAACTTACCCTTGTTCTTTCTCAGTGCTTTGATTACATTGCATATTCTTTGCTTGCTTCTGCTTCTATTTGTGTTAATTTCTTTGGTTTCTATTTTCTATAGTGCCAAGTGTTGATTCTTTCTTCTTTTGTATTTATATTTCTGCCTACTTGCAAATTTTATTTTCATAGTTGATCATGAATGTAGTTATTTTTCCTTCAATTCCTGTTAGTCTCTCTTCTAGGGACTTCCTGGTGATGATAAAATGTCCAAGTTTTTGCTTGTCTTGGAAAGTCTTCATGTTTCCTTGATTTCTGATGGACAGCATTGTGGGGTACATATATTTGATTGAGAGTTCTTTTATTTCAGCATGAGGAATATGTCACCTCATTTTCTTCTGGCCTGAAATGAATCTCCTTAGAAATATGCTATTATACTAAGGACTTTCCCTTCAATGTGGCTTTGCTATTACTATTTTTGGCTCTTATTTTTTTTTTAACTTTTATTTAATGAATATACGTTTCCAAAGTACGAATAATGGATTACTATGGCTTTCCCCCCATACCGTCCCTCCCATCCACAACCCTCCCCTTTCCCACTCCCTCTCCCCTTCCATTCACATCAAGATTCATTTTCGATTATCTTAATATACAGAAGATCAGCTTAGTATACATTAAGTAAGGATTTCAACAGTTTGCTCCCACACAGAAACATAAAGTGAAAAATAATAGATGATGTTTTTTAATGATGATGAAATCAGATCAGACCTATTGTCATGTTTAATCCCAGTGAGAGTCAAGTTGGGAGTTGATAGTTTCTTTTCTTTTCTTTTCTTTTTTTTTTTTTTTTACAGAGGATCAGTTTAGTATGCATTAAGTAAAGATTTCAACAGTTTGCACCCCCATAGAAACACAAAGTGAAATATATTATTTGAGTACTCGTTATAGCATTAAATCTCAATGCACAGCACATTAAGGACAGAGATCCTACATGAGGAGTAAGTGCACAGTGACTCCTGTTGTTGACTTTACCAATTGACACTCCTGTCTATGGCATCAGTAATCTCCCTATGCTCCAGTCATGAGTTTCCAAGGCTATGGAAGCCCCTTGAGTTCTCCAACTCTTATCTTGTTTAGACAAGGTCATAGTCAAAGTGGAGGTTCTCTCCTCCCTTCAGAGAAAGGTACCTCCTTCTTTGAAGACCTGTTCTTTCCACTGAGATCTCACTCACAGAGATCTTTTGCCAGAGTGTCTTGGCTTTCCATGCCTGAAATACTCTCATGGGCTTTTCAGCCAGATCTGAATGCCTTTAGGGCTGATTCTGAGGCCAGAGTGCTATTTAGGACATCTGCCATTCTATGAGTCTGCTGAGTATCTCACTTCCCATGTTGGATCACTCTCCCCTTTATTTATTCTATCGGTTAGTGTTAGCAGGTACTAGACTTGCTTATGTGCTCCCTTTGACTCTTAGTCCTTTCATTATGATCAATTGCGAACTGAAATTGATCACTTGGACTAGTGAGATGGCATTGGTACATGCCACCTTGATGGGATTAAATTGGAGTCCCCTGGTATGTTTCTAACTCTACCATTTGGGGCATGTCAGCTTGAGCATGTCCCAAATTATATATCTCTTCCCTCTCTTATTCCTACTCTTATGTTTAACAGGGATCACATTTCAGTTAAATTTCAACACTTAAGAATAACTGTGTATTAATTACAGAATTAAATCAGTCATATTAAGTAGAACAGACAAAAAAACTACTAAGAGGGATAATGTATTAAGTTGTTCATTAACAGTCAGGGCTATGCTGATCAAGTCACCGTTTCCCATAGTGTCCCTTTCACTTCAACAAGTTTCCTTTTTGGTGTTCAGTCAGTTGTCACTGATCAGGGAGAACATATGGTATTATTTTTAAAATTCTCTTTACAGTGTGGCTATAAGATCATATAGTAAGGAGCTTTAATGGTGAAATCTATTGGTAGGTCCTTTGGATCTCCTGGACCTGCATGTCCATATTTTTGCCAAAATTAGAGATTTTCCATCTATTATTTTATTGACTAGATTGTCTATATGTCTTCCACTCATTTCTTCACGAATCCCAATAGTTGAAATGTTTCTTACCTTAATAGTGACCTGTAGATGTGGAAACCTTTCTTTAGTTTTGCAAATTAAAGAGAAAAAGTCTTCTCTGATATGGAAATTCCATAGCATTTGCCTTCAAGTTCAAAAATTTTCATTTGCCTGAGTAGTCTGTTGCAAGATTTCTTTTTGGTTCTCATTCATTATCTCTAACTCTGCTGAATTATCCCTTCATTTCATGAAACATTTTCTTAATTTCATTGAGGGAGGGAGGAAGGAGGAAGGGAGGAAGGAAAGAGGGAGGGAGGAAGCAGGAAGGGAGGAAGGAAAGAGGGGAGGAGGAAGGAAAGAAAGAAGGAAGATGGAAAGGAGGGAGGAAGGGAGGAAGTA